AAATTACAGTGTAAATCTAAATTGCACATGTAGCTTTCTTTAAGTATATTTGATGCGTGTCTGACTCCAGGATGCTTTGCTTACTGTGTGAGGGAAGGTAGGAAACAATTGGGGGAAAATACCAGCACAGGGCTGTCTCTAAAACACGGATTCCCCAACTCTGGGTCTTTAAATAAAAATTACAGGTTAGAAATGAAAAAGGAAGTTAAAAGAATGTTAATGTGTTACAGTATATTAGAGGGCCTGGGTTGTCATTGATCTAAAGGTTAGTGATAAGTCATTTAAGTATTATTTACTTTTTAAAATTGGCATGTTAATCCCTTAAATTATGGGCATATGAGACTGTCTTCTCCAAGAATGGAATTTAGAAAGTCAGTTCTCAGGAAAGAAGGCTTTTATTTGTCCAAGTGTTATGATGTCCAATTTGGAAGTTTTCAATCATTTATTGGTTGAGGAATTATTTCAGAGGAATATGTACATATGAACCTCTAATTGGAATATTTATAACAAAAATCAAAGCTTCATAGTTGCTCTAAATGAGATAGAATACTGTGCTTAGAATAGCTTATAGAGAGCAATAATAAACCGAATTTTTTCTCTTAACAGTAACAGCATAGGGATAGAGGCCATTTATAAAATTGTAATAAAATGAAATCCTCTTTACTTATAACCTAATTAGAAATGTTATTTAAGTGGCCAAGAGTGTGTGGAAATTGGCCAGATTTTTGTACATTTTCTTCAGAATACTTTGAAACCTCTTTCACTGTTTCACAATATTTATGGATTGTGCAATTCAGGTTTAGTAATACTATAGATAGTCCAATGTCTTAGAGAACACAACAGGGATTACCAGGAAACTTAAATGTTGATTGGATAGGACTTAAGTACAACATTAATGCTATATTTTTTTTATTTTAAATATATATATTTTTATTAATTTCAGAGAGGAAGGGAAAGGGAGGGAGGGAGGGAGGAAGAGAGAGAGAGAGAGAGAGAAATATCAATGATGAGAGCAAATCATTGATCGGCTGCCTCCTACACACTCCACACTGGGGATCAAGCCCATAACCTGGGCATGTGCCTTGACCAGGAATCGAACCATGATTTCCTGGTTCATAGGTCAACGCTCAACCACTGAACAACACTGGCTGTAAGCCATCTTTGTCTTCTTTGGAAAAAAGTCTATTCAAATCTTTTGCCCATTTTGTAATCTGAGTTTTTTGTTGTTGTTATTGAGTTGTATCAGTTTTTTTATATATTTTAGATATTTACCCTTTATCAGATATATGGTCTACAAATGTCCTCCCTGTGAACAGCTTTTCTTTATATTGTGATTGACACTTGGGTCACTTCTGAAATTAGAGCCTCAGCAATAGATGATGGTGTTTCTTGATTATCTGCTTAAATAAAATCGGGAAGTTGAATTTTGCTTTTCTATTTATTTTCCTAAGCTATGAAGAGACTAACATGCAATGTCACTTGAATTTGTTAAGCAATTTAAATTACAATGTAAATCTAAATTGCATATATGAAGACATCTTGGTGTGTTGTTCACTCTTGTATAGGTGAGCCACATGAATTTAATTTTTACTTTTGATTTTTCGACCTCAGAAGAATATTTGGATATCTGACAAGCTTCGGTCTTGTATCCTTAGTTCTAGTCCTCCTAGACTAGAAATGCAGAACAACACTGAATGACATAGATCTTGTGGCAGGGGCAGAGACCCTTTGAAGATGAGATTAATTTACCCCTCAGACAGGAGATGAGGTTGGATGGGTGTTTTAGAGCAATAGAGGTAGCAAGCTAAAGTGTGGGAACTTGTGAACAAAGATTGATCAGCTGAAGGATGGAAAATATAGACCCCCTGCTTTTCACCCTATAGAGATGTGTAAAACCCCCACCTTAAAAAAATTATCTGTTTTGATGAAAAGGTTGTTGTGAAAACAAGAGGAGTATTAGTGGCTCACTCTGTGGTTGAAAAACCCTAAATTTTAATGTAATGCGCTAGACTTGCAAATGTAAAAATATTACTTTGCCTTTTGGACAAGACATCCATCCCGTCCTGATTTAGGTTTTATGATGAGAGGTAGACATAATGCCTGTATTACTATTTTAAACTCTAGTGCCTTGTACATTGTGGTATTCAAAGAATGTAATTCTTTTTTTAAGATTGAAAAAAAGATTGAATTTGTGTTACTCCTCCCCCCCAGCATGTCTATGATGTCAGTTGGAATAATAGTAATTATAGTTCATTTCACTTTAATTTTCTTTGTTCTTGTTTTGTATTGACCTCTGATTCTCTCTGACAAAGAATTATGTATGATTTGAGGGATATTTTAAAAAATTGATGAGACTAAGTTGTAACTAACTTCTTCTTGGTACTAGCTCATATTTTTGTGACCACACATGGAACTTTGTGACTATTCCTGGACAAGAACAAAAGAGCTTCAGCTTAGTAATGGCTTACTTTAAAATTTTTAAGCTCTAAAGATCATGAGATTCTTTTAACTGCTTATTAACTGCTTTTATCCAACAGTTGAAAAATTGTTGAATAAATTGACAAGTTCATTGCTGATTTGTAAATAGGTTTATATGTTTACAAATAGGCTAATATTAATGTTTTACATTAGTTCATACATTGATAATAAGTTATATGGAACATTTGTGGGAGATGCCTAGAGGTCTTATGCTGTTAATACAGAAGGTTTAGGTTTAACACTAGCAGCAGAGAACATTGGAGTAGAGCCTCATTATAACACAGGCTATAATGTATCTTCTCTGCAGGCCTAAGGAATGTGACTTTATCCTACAGGTAATGAGAACTCATATAGTTTAAAGAAGGTAGTCACCTGAATAAAAAAGAGACTTTGAACTCAAATCTCTACTTGTGTCATTTAACTTACTAGCTGTATACTCTTGGACCTGCCTGGTATTTAACATTTCTGAACCTCAGTTTTTACATCTGTGAAATAGGGATAACTTGGAATGAGAGTAACCTGGATTGTGAGTGACTTAATCATTCAGCAAACAGTTACTGAGTGCCTGTTATACATAATGCCCAGAGGAATTCTACAGAGAAGGGAAATGTAGAAGGATGGGCCTACAAAGCTTAGAAAAGCTGGATGCTGGGTTAACCCATCCAAAACTTAGCACATTTCTCTTCTCACACCTATTCTTATTCATGTGTTCTCTGACGTCATTAGTGGCACCTAAGACAAATCTTGGAAGCCTCTATTATACCTTTATATCCAACCAGTTATCAAATCCAGCCATTTTACTCCTTTTGGTGTAAAATTTGATTATAATGAATTGCTTAAATATTAAGTGTTCATGGGTTGAATTTTGACATACACATATATCTGTCAAGATCAAGAACTTCTTATCATCTCAGAAAATTCTCTTATTACTCAAGTGATCCTCTTGTAATTCATTGCAATCAGTTCATTTCAGATGAAGCAATAACTTTTTTCATTCCTATCATCAATGTATATTAATATGCCAGGTATAGGAATATAAATTGAGAATACAGTTGTGAGCACAAAGTCCTTACCTTCAAGGAAATTACAGTTGGGTAAGGATACTAATCTATATTTATAAAAGCCTAAGCGACTGTCCACGGCTGTCTGACCGGTAGCTATGACGTGCAATGACCATGAGGGGGCAGATGCTCAACACAGGAGCTGCTGAGCTGCAGTGACTTGGTAGCTGTGGTTCTCAGGTAATGCACCCGGAACCAAAGAAGAGGAAGCCCGATTCCGGGGTGTGTCACCTGAGAACTGCTCTCTTGCAATCCGGGACCCCTTGGGGGATGTCAGAGAGCCGGTTTCATCCCAATCCCCGCAGGCCAGGCCGAGGAACCCCACTGGTGCATGAATCCGTGCACCGGACCTCTAGTGAATAAATAAGAACTTTATAACACAACTTGGGAAGTAAGAAAATAAAGTTTGAGTACAGGGTGCCATCCTGCCACCTTGATCTAATCCTGTTGGGGAAATGAAATCTAATCTGAGGTTGGTGATAAGTGTAATGAATCATGAAAGGAAGGGGAGATGCATATTCCAAGGATGTTCAGAACCAAGAAGCAAGAGAACAGGGAATATTGTATGACTAGAGAATAGAGAATAAGAATGACAAAAATGATACTAGGGTGTCAGGTAAAGGGCTGGAGAAAGACTTGAGTTTCCCATTGTAGGTCACTTAGGAGTAGCCTTAGCTTTCAGACAAGGAATGATGCAAAATGACAATTCTTTGAACTCCTTCTAAACCTTAGCTAACATTCTTATTTTAGGAATTACTACCTAATTAATGAAACATAATTTTAGTGAATTATTGTTATTACTAGAGGCCCGGTGCACAAAAATTTGTGCACTCGGGGGGGTCCCTCAGCCTGGCCTGTGCCCTCTTGCAGTCTGGGACCCCTCAGGGAATGACCACCTGCTGGCTTAGGCCCTTAGTGCTGCTGAGGAGGCAGGAGAGGCTCCCACCACCACCGCTGTACTGGCAGCCATCAGCCTGGCTTGTGGCTGAGCAGAGCTCCTCCCATGTGAGAGCACCCTGACCACCAGAAGGGAGCTCCTGCATTGAGCGTCTGCCCCCTGGTGGTCAGTGTGTGTCATAGTAACCAGTCATTCCCAGTCGTTCTGCTGTTAGGGTCAGTTTGCATATTACCCTTTTACTATATAGGATAGAGGCCTGGTGCACGGGTGGGGGACGGCTGGTTTGCCCTGAAGGGTGTCCTGGATCAGGGTGGGGGTCCTGCTTGGCTGCCTGGCCAGCCTGGATGAGGGGATGATGGCTGTTTGCAGCTGGTCACACCCTCTTCAGGGTGGGGGTTTCCACTGGGGTGCCTGGCCAGCCTGGGTGAGGGGCTGAGGGCCATTTTCAGGCTGGCAGGTGACTGAAGCTCCCAACCTCTCCTTTTTTTCTTTTTCTTTTTTATTCTGGGATTTATTTACGTTCTATGGCTGTCACTGGAGCTGAGAGCCAGCTTTAACTCTGAGGCTCAGCTCCAACTCTGAGACCTCGGCTGCTGAAAGCAGGTATCTGGGCTTTGTTTAGCTTCTATAATTGAAACACTGTTGCGACTCCAGCTCTGAGGCCCGGCTGGCTTAAAGCAGGTTTCTGGGGATTGTTTAGCTTCTATAATTGCAACATAGTTGCTTAGAGTGCAGTTCAGAGGCCAACAGCAGCAGGTGGGGATCCTTGGCTTCCTCCATCACTGGAGCAAGCAAGCCTCCTGTTCGCTTCAGCTGCCTGGTTGCCGGCCGCCATCTTGGTTGGCAGTTAATTTGCATATCGCCCTGATTAGCCAATGGGAAGCATGCCGGAGGTATGGTTAATTACCATGTTTGTCTAATATTAGATAGGATTGTCATCAGCATAATGCTAACTACCGCTTATTGAATGTTTCTACATATTTTATCTTGGGACACTCTTCATGTTTTTATTTGTGGTAGTGGTCCCCAAAGATAAAGGTTTCCAAAGGTATGGCCATGTTCTAATCCTTGGAACCTGTGAATGGCACTTTATGTGACAAAGACTTTGCAGACTTTTAACTCAACTGATTCAGTTAAAAATCATGAGATGATTCTGGATTATCTGAGCGGGCCCTAAATGGATTCACTAGTGTTCTTTCAAGAAATAGGCAGAGAAGATTATAAGCAGGCAGAAGAGGAGACACACAAAAGAGATGGCAATGTGGTGATGAACTGGAGTGACCCTGCCACAGGGTAAGGGATGCCAGCAGCCACCAGAACTCAGAAGAGACAAGGAATGAATTTTCCCCTAGAGCAGTGATTCTCAACCTTCCTAATGCCGCGACCCTTTAATACAGTTCCTCATGTTGTGGTGACCCCCAACCATAAAATTATTTTTGTTGCTACATAACTGTAATTTTGCTACTGTTATGAATCGTAATGTAAATATCTGATATGCAGGATGTATTTAGGCGACCCCTTGTGAAAGGATCGTTTGACCCCCAAAGGGGTCGCGACCCACATGTTGAGAACCGCTGCCCTAGAGCATCTATTGGGAACATGGCTCTGCTGACCCCTTAATTTTAGCCTAATGATCCTGGTCTCCCGAACTATAGAAAACATTTCTGTTTAAGCCACCAAGTTTGTGGTGATTTGTTACAGCAGCCATTAGAAACAGCCAATGCATTCGTTAGAGCACATTATGCACTTCCTATGTGCATGGACTCAGATGTTTTTTCCTTCCCTGGAAGTGCTTGGACTACCACTCCACCTTTGAAACAAGCTCATTCATCTGTGGTGATCAAGTCAAAAGCAACTTCTGCTGATGCCAGGGCAGGAGTTGAAGGCTCATCCTCTCCTTGGCTGGCTACTACAAGGCAGCCTCCCCACACCTTTCCTCACCTGTTGCCTCAGGCCTGCTTCCTTTTTCTCTTTGTTCAGCTATCTTCTGCCAGATGCCTAGGTCATTCTTTTCATCTACTGTTTGCTGAAACCCAAAGCTTTTTCACTAAAATTAACCAGTTCTCCCTAATCAGATGGTACATGGGCCAATCCCTGGGAAAAGTACAGAAGAGAGGATTACAGAGAAATGGAGCCAGAGCCATCAGATTTAGTCAGTCCCTCTTCTTTTGGACTTAAAGCTATGAACTTATAATTTTCATTATCATTTGAGCTGGATTGAGAGGGGTTTTCTGGAATTTGCCACCATAGGCCACCTTTAGGTTTGCTCCACTCCCCCTGCTCCTGCAAAAAAAAGGAGGACATACAAATAGGAAATGGCTTTAATGTTCTACTTTTAATTATGAGATTTGAAGCCTTATTATAAAAGCAATCTCATATTTTAATAAGATTTCTCTTCTCTCAATCCTCATAGCAGTTATATTTTATACCCTCTCATGGTCTCTGACTTGCTTGCACTTCCACCCTGATAAGAGGCTGTCTTGCAGTGGGGAGGGGAATGCCTTTTTTTGTCTTCATCCCCCCCCCCCCCAATTTTTATTTATTGATTTTGAGAGAGAGAGAGCTGGCGGGAAGGGAGAGAGAGAAACACGATTTGTTGTTTCACTTATGTATGCATTTGTTGATTGATTCTTGTATGTGCCCTGACCTGGATTGAACTCGCAACCTTGGTGTATCCGGACAATGCTCTAATCAACTGAGCTACTGGGCCAGGGCTTGTCTTTTCTTGTTCTGCCCATTTTTAACCTCTGCTTGATTATTTAGGATCTGACTATCCACAGAGATAAGATAGGTAGACTTTGATATTTACTTGGAGGTTCACAGGCTGAAGTTGAATGTCTGTAATCCAGTATTTTACCACAATGCTTTGTACCTGTCAGGTAAATTTTGTCATATGTAGATAGCTTCACCCTCAGTAAGTTTTCTATTCTGCTTTTCTTCTCTGTGTATAATAGTTGGGAGTTGGGAAGAGCATTACCTTACCTCTTTGTGTTTTGTTTTGATGCTCTAGGTCAGGATGGCTCACTGGTTGGCTTCCCACATGGTGCCCTACGTCTACATCACACCTTAAAGAAGCTGAAGAGAAAATTTTAAAATGTAAGGCTTTCTCCTTATATGTTAACAGTTGTTTGCTAAAATAGGTCCAATATTCACATTGTCCTGAAACTTAAGATTTTGTGGTGTGTTATTTGTTTGGCAAAAGAATTTTTTTTTTCTTTTTCATGTCATGAGCAAGTACCTAAATGTGGGGGGACAGGAGCTCCCAAACTTGTTGGTCTTGAGTGTCTGTTATATTCTTAAATTAGTAAGGACCCTAAGGAGCTTTGTTTGTAGGTAATAGGTATCATTTACGATATTAGAAATTAAGACTGAATAATTTAAAATATGTTAATTTATTAATTTATTTTAAATAATAGTAATTAACCTATACAGGTTAAAAGAAGTAACATATTTCTAAAAATAACTACTTTTCAAATAGAAATGTATTAAGAAGTGTAGCGTTGTTTACATGCTTGCAAATCTCTTTACTGTCTGACTTAATATAAGGCATCTGGATTCTCATATTTGCTTCTGCATTTAGACTGTTGGTAATCACATCTTTGGTGATCTCTGGAAAACTCCACTATGTACCCTCAAAGAATAAGAGTGAAAAGGCAAATATAAAATATTAATATTATTATGAAAATAGAGTTGACCTCGTAGATCTCCTAAAAGAGTCTTAGGGGTTCCCCAGAGGTCCCTAGACTATGCTTTGAGAATAGGCTGTAGCCAGTCTAGAGCAGATGTCTTGTAGAATGGAACAAGTTCTGGACCAGAACAAGGTAACCTGGTCTAGGCCTAGATCTGCAATCAGGTGGTTACAAGATCTTGGACCAGTCACTTTTCTCAGCTTCCTGATGTTTACCTATAAAACAAGGGGGTAGGAGGATCCTTAAAATTCCTTTCAGTTCTAGTATTCTGGGACTCTTTAATTCTACATTTATAATGGTGTGGAAACCTTTTTGTTTCTTTCTTTCTTATGGACACTGTAATTCACCCAAACTTGTACTGTCTAGGTCAGCGGTTCTCAACCTGTGGGTCGCAACCTCTTCGGCGGTTGAACGACCCTTTCACAGGGGTCGCCTAAGACCATCCTGCATATCAGATATTTACATTACGATTCCTAACAGTAGCAACATTACAGTTATGAAGTAGCAATGAAAATAATTTTATGGTTGGGTCACAACATGAGGAACTGTATTTAAAGGGCCAGAGGTTGAGAACCACTGGTCTAGGTGTTCCCAGGTATCTGTGGGTATACTTTTAAGCAATAGTGTTTATGGTATACCAGTAGTTCTGTTCTGCTGCTACAATTTAGAGGCGTGGATTAAGCGATGCAGTTCACATATATGATTATTGTGTATGTATGTGCAGATATTTGTTGTGTATGTCATGTATGTTTTTCATCCACTCTACACAAATTTTCTTGTTTGTGCATTTGAATGATTCAGGAGTAAGTGACCATAACTGAATATAGCCATAGGAAGGGACAGTTAGTCATCTTACATGGATTTTCAGCATGAAAATAAATTTCTACTCTATATGCTTGGGTAATCATCTTCTCTATAAAGCTGGGAAAGATGTCATTGTGGTTTACTAAAGAAATTCTTACAAACTGCTGAGCTCACATGTGGCGGGGCGGGGCTTCCCCTGTGCCTCCAGGTTACCTAGGTCCTCATCAACTCTGTGGAGTTCAACCTTGACTGTGTTCATGGCACTTACTATATCCAAAGTGGAGTGGTTGGCACTTCAAGGTGGCCGATACCTTGCATCTGGTTGCGGTGCCTAAAAGGCCAACTCATGGGTCTGAGCGTGATGAGAAATTTCTGAGGAAGATGTACCAGGTGCTGCTGAAGGTGGATGTGTTGGAGGGCAACCTGCAATGCCCAGAGTCTGCACATATGTTCCCATCGGCTTGGGATTCCCCAACCTGCTGCTGACTGATGAGGAAAGCGAGACTTAACCATGCCAGGCATCAGTTTTCATTCTGTAACTGTGTGTATCTTAGTTTGTGTTTGTACTGTTTGCTAATTATGTACCCAACCCTTGACCCAGTGACACACTAGACACAGTGAGTGTCCTTGAGTTTGGTATTGATTTTTCCTCATTAAAGGTTCAAAACAAACAGAAATTCTTGTCAGGAGATAAGAAAGGGTACTAGATGCCCAGCTCATGCATTTAACAAACATACTGATTTCCTACTGCTAAGTTCTAGGGATGCAAATAGGAGTGAGAATTGGCCCCTGGTCCAGTATCAGACATTAAAGCAAGTGACTAATGCAGGGAGTGAACTTGGCTCTCCACTGGTTGTCCACTGCAAGTGAATATCACAAACAAATAAGGGGACATCTAAAGTGTGTAGCCATTCAGTTGATAATTTAATGTAAATGAATTTCAGATTAGTTTCATCTTTAGTCTTTTTGGGGGATATTTAAAGTACTGTATTTAGTCTCACAGCATTGAAGGCAAGTAAGAATTTTTATCTACAAAATGATGATGATTTGCACTTTCCAGAGAGAATGTTGGACTTGAACTCACACTATTGTCACTTTATGCTGAGGAGTTCCTACCATAACATGTCACCTTTTTCCCTCTAAACTCTGAAATGACTTAAGATTTCAGTTATGTGTTTAAATACAGATACTGTTCATCCTTCCTTAAATTTATTATTTACTTTTTAGGGAAAAAGGTTTCTTTTGAGTCTGAACTTTAGTCTTCAATGCTTAATCTTCAAGTGTTAGAAAAATTCAAGGTGGCATTCTTTTGTTTTGTTTGCAAGGATTGAGACCTCCAAATAATGGATTCAGTGAATATTGAGTTCCTCTCCATTTCTAAGGGTGTAGTACTCTCATTTGATGGATGTGGAAAGAAGTCTAAAGAACTACATGACTTGCCAAAAGACCTTGACCACAGGAACTTGAGACTTGTCTGAGATGGATTGTCCCACTTAGATGTAAAATATGATCATTAAGAATTACTTGCTTCAGTGAAATGTATACTTTTTTTTTTTAGGGATGATATAATAAAGGCTAAGATCATATGAATGGCAACCAGATGATTTGTAGATTATTAATTTCTGATTGCTCTGAGAATACTTCGCTTCTCAGAGGTAGTGAAGTTAAGCAGAATTTTTCTTTTATGTTTTTTTTAGGTGTCCCCTGTATATATAAGAAAGAAGCTGTTCGTGTATCTAATGGAAATAAAATATGGACACTGAAGTTCTCTTACGATGTTCCAAATAAGACTCCACTTGTCCTTCTCCATGGTTTTGGAGGAGGTCTTGGACTCTGGGCACTGAACTATGAAGATCTTTGTACCGATAGACCCGTCTATGCTTTTGACCTGTTGGGCTTTGGACGAAGTAGTAGACCCATGTTTGATAATGATGCAGAAGAAGTGGAGAATCAGTTTGTGGAATCCATTGAAGAGTGGAGATGTGCCCTAGGACTGGACAAAATGATCTTGCTTGGACACAACCTGGGTGGGTTCTTGGCTGCTGCTTACTCACTGAAATACCCGAAAAGGTAAGTGATGGTGACAGGAGAGAAGCACCTGTGCTAGTCTCTAGTTTCCATCTTTGGTGGTTGGTACCTGAGCCTTACAAGACAGATTCTCTTAAAGGACCCTAAACACATCACAACTAATTTAGTAGCTGAAGTAATGATGTCACATTTTCCTATTACACCTGCTACATACACATTTATAGAAGCTTAAGAGGGACTTTCTATTTGTTAAACTTAGAATATATACAGTTGAAGTCACAAATAAAAGTTGTTGTGGTATTGCTTTCTATTATTATCATTAGACTTATGGATCCAGCAGGTTTTTCCAGTTTGTAATAAGCTGTAATAGGAAACCAGAAAGTTAGAAATTAGAAAACCTAGTGCTGTGTTTTGACTTAGAGCAAAATCACTTAACCTCTAAGCTTTAGTTTCCTCTAAACTACAGAAAATATACCTACATAGTCTATTTTACAGGGTTTTTTAATTATACTGTGCCCTAACATTTATTGTTACAGAATTATTTTTCTAGTCATTGAATTAATAAGTGTTTGCCTCAGAATCTTTGTAGCATCTCCTCCTTTCTCTACCTGATTTTCTTGTGTTATTTCCTATTATTTATGTTACTTCTCTGAGGGGAGGTCACGTTAGAGTGCTAAAAAAAATGGAAGAAAAGCTCATTTTTGTTTTGTTCATCTTTCGGAAAGAAACAAATAATAATCAGCATTTTTGGTTGCCAGTGTATTATTCTATTGGAATAATTTTTAAATCCAAAATTGCAACCAACTGTGACATTGAGGCCTGTGAATGAGACATTGGGTGGTGGACATTTTCAGAGTGCATTTATGCACTGTGAGGCTGCCCATTGCATAACTCCATGTGCACGTGGAGCAGCAGCCCGGTGTACCTGAGGTTTTCTTCCTCTGGAGCAGCCAACTTTTCTCTACAGATTCTTTTTTATTTTTTATTTTCTTGGTTTTTTTACAGAGAGGAAGGGAGAGGGATAGAGAGTTAGAAACATCGATGAGAGAGAAACATTGATCAGCTGCCTCCTGCACACTCCCTACTGGGTATGTGCCCGCAACCAAGGTACATGCCCTTGACCAGAATCGAACCTGGGGCCCTTGAGTCCGCAGGCCGACGCTCTATCCACTGAGCCAAACCGGTTAGGGCTACAGATTCTTTATTTAAACTTCATTTACACTTGACTTTTGTGGAGAGTTTATAGTCCTGTGTGCTAGACAGTTTTTTTTCAACTGGCAGATCAGTTCTTTTTAAAAAAATGAAATTTTCTTCGCCTCATTGGCTGTTTGGGATTACTGCCTTTGTGTCCTACTCTTGGTGACAAATGTTTGTCACTGAGAGAAGGAAGTGGAGACTTTTCTGGTATAAGACAACAGGGTATTTGTGGAGATTGGACTTCCTTTGTTTCGTAACAGATGTTTATGAGGTCACTCTTGTGGTATTTATCCCTTGGAGATGTGACATGGGTCTCTTGGGCCAGACTGGTTATGAAACCCCTGAGTCTTAGAATCCTGGCCCTTCGTGGCTATCTGCTATTTAAGTTAGGGAGATTTTCATTTGCAGTTGTGAAATGTTTAAAGAAATAAGGTGTTTCACATTGATTTAGAAGGGAATGATCACTTTAAAATTACCTATAAAAGAGGATAGCAACATATTTTGAATGACATGGTTGACAGAACAGGTATCTAAAACAAATCCAGTGATTCCAGTCTTGTACTGACTACATTTATAGAAATTGATTTTTGAATGTTTGTGCCTAATACTAGAAATAAAACTAAAGTGCCAGGACCAAGAACCACCAAATATTAGCAATAGATGAATATGAGAATGCTTGAAATAATTAGCATGTTTAAATTGGCTGATTGCTAACAAATATTGAGTGGAACTCTATAGAATGTGTTGAATAGTCAATCTTGAATTCTTAACTGCATAACTTAAATTATTCAATACAAGTTAATTTCTAAATAATGAGATTCTCTTGATTTTCAAATATCCCAAATCATTAATGAAATTCAGTTGAAACCCTTTGCTTGGCACATAGTGGGTGCCCAGTTTTAAATGAATGAAACAAGGAGGCCACTGGACTGATGTGGCTCTAATGCCATGGCCTGTGTAAGCAAACCGGAATCTAAGCCTGTAAATGTCTCAAGGTTATGAAATCAAAAACTAAGGACATTGAATCACAAACAGCCAGTCTTTCCTCTTGCTCAGTGGAGCATTCCTAACTATTACTGGTTTGGCACTGCCTGATTCAAATTGGTTTTTGCTCAAATAAACTCTTAAAATTTTTAATATGCTTCATTTTATCTTTTACCAGTATCAACTAAGCAAGTATGGAACTAGCTACTCTAGATGTCTCTTACCCAACTTTCAGGTATTTCTTATAAACTAAAGAAAAGGACACTAAGAAACTTAGTGTTTAGCAAAGAAATCCATTCCAAGTTACAACTACAACTGGTCTTTACTTCTTCACTAAGGTTTTCAGATCATCTGACCTTTTGACTTTGCCTGGCTCTGTCTTCGGACTCTGCAGAGGTGGGCTGAACATTTCTTCTCAGCCTTTCTTGAGAAGAAAGGTTGTTCTGCTTGATCTGAAGTTGGAGGTATTTAGTTTGTTGTGCTCTGGACCTGTCCCATTCTCCCCTCAGTGGCTTGGAGGCAATGGGAAATACCTGCCCCTAACTCGATCTGAGAATTGCTCGTTTGTGCACTGACTAGAGTTCTTTCTGGTCCTTTTTTCCCCTTTCCTTGTTGCATAAGTAGGTCCTGCAGACTCCCTTGTGCATTTTGGTTCTTGGTCTGAATATTCTTCTTGTTATATTATATCTGGTTGGTGGCAGAACTTAAAATTCATGGAAGTCAGGTTATATACCTTCCTTAGCACTGAGACTCAGCTGTCCCAAGAGGTTAGAGCTTGTGTGTTGTCCACCACTTTGCCCTTTATACTCAGTCTTCCAACTCAGGACCTACTCTAATGACTAACCTGCAGAAGAGTGCCTCTTTATGTTTTGAAACTGATGGGCTATTGTCCTCTTGTTCCTGCTCTGCTGGTTCTTTGTTTTTCGTGTAGTTCAAATCAGTCTCTGATTCTTGACAAAGATGTCTGATAGGATGACTCACATGTGGTGTCTGGGTGGACCCATTCCTTAATCCTAGATGTGAACTAACAATCCCATCATGCTATCAGCTACAGAATACGAGAGGTTAGGATCTGGTTTACTATACTAATTTAGATATACTACATTAAAACCAAGTAACTACTATCAAATGAGATGATCTCTTCATTAGAAAAGGAGGCGAGAAGATAGCCTAGGAACTTGGTCTACTGCAGGGTTATAAGAACCTGTGAGACAAAACCTGTGGTCAGGCTTTCCTGGAGGACGAAAGTTAAATTACTCACTGCTCAGGTGGTTCTTGCCACTGTCTTCCCAGCTCCCTGGATTGAATTCTTCTCCAGTAGTCTTCCTATTTTTGCTACTGTAACTATCTAACATTTACTTTATATTTATTATTTGATAACTTTGCACAATCTATCTCATTTAAAAGCCTTACAATAAAAAATAAGGGACAATTATTTTCTGAGGTAGTGGAAGTAGATGGTATATATAACTCCAGTTTAAACATTGTTGCAGAACTTTAAAAAAATGGTTTTCAAACTTTTTTGACTATAACCCTCAGTATGAATTATATGTGTATGTGTCTGAAACAGTTTTGTGGAATGATACGCTTACATATTTTTCTACTCCACATAATATAATTTTATTAAAAAACAATCAGACCAGACTGGCTCTGACTCTCTAAATGAATTTTACTACCCACTAGTGAGTAATGACCTGCAAGATTAATATAAGAACTTATTTTGATGTTCTCATGTCATCTGGGGAACCAGGAAAATCCAGACTGGATAGCTCCTCTGCTTATTACTTGATTATACTTTACAAAATTTGTATATCCTTATAGACAAGGACTGAAAGGAAATGTGGACAACACTACTCCAAATGTTTACTGATATCTATTATGTGCTAAACACTATACTAGGCTGATGACACAGGATCAGTTATTGGAGCAATTTATCCTCGTTTAAAGAAGGGGGGGCATGTACTCTAGTATGTACACTTTGCATAATTTGTTAAGCTGGCATTCTTACCTGGGGATGCTGTTTTGCAGATCCATAGTAAACAGGCAAGCCAAAATTAAGGCAGAACCAAAAGAATCACTTAACTCGACTTTCCCTCCCTCGAATTTTCCTTTGTCCTCCTCCTTCTTGGGTTAGCAGGTCCGTGAGTATCTAGAACAGACTGTGCAAGATCCAACAACAAATTTTAACAAAAGTTTAGTCATCTTTTAGGGTGATTTTTTTCTTTAAGAGGTAAGTCAGTAGTGAATAATACCATTTTTTTCTTTTTTTTTGTTAATCTTTACCTGAGGCTATTTTCTCCATTGATTTTTTAGAGAGAGTAGAAGGGAAGGGAAGAGACAGAGCGAGAGAAACATCGATTGGTTGCCTCTTGGGGATCGAGCCTGCAACCGAGGTATGTGCCCTTGACCGGAATCGAACCTGTGACCTTTCAGTCTGAGGGCCAACACTCTAACCACTGAGCCAAATTGGCTAGGGCAATAATACTATGTTTTAACATGAATCTTTGCCACTTTCAACTAGGTGGCTATTTCATAAATTCTACTCATACCTCTGACCTATCCCCCTTCCTCAAATCTCAATGTGAGCTGTATGAGAGGAATTTAGGAGGAAGTCAAAATGTCAGAGATAGTCTCTGCCATTAAAACAAAACAAACTCATTCCCATCCCCCTTCCTTACACTATTATAAAATAATAGTCTCATAGAACTTTTATGAGTGAAGGCACTCAAAGTCTATAGAAATCTCTTGCATCACACATTTCCACACAGATTCATAGTTACATTCTACAATTCTTGGCGTTATGAAATCTAGAGTATAGTATTAGGACCAGCCTGGAGTTGATAAAAGTGAAGGGCTTTGCCTTTACTAATATCTTTCTTTTTTGTGGCTTAGCTTGTCCTGAGGAGAGAGCCTTCTGCCCAGTGGCTTGTTGGCATCTGTTAGTGTTCTGGAGTCAGGAAATGTGCGTTTTAATCCTTGTTCTACATTCACTAGCTTTATGTCCTGGAGCAGATCACACAGTGCATCTCAGCTTCCTTCTCAAATCTGTGAGACAGAAGATTGGGCTGACTTCTCCAAGGACCCTTGGAGCTCTGGGTCTGTGCGCTGAAACTTTCTGTTGGAGAAAACGCAGTCAGAACAAAGGACTCGTGTACTGGCAAAAGAGAAAAACATTTAATATCAGGAATAATAGCCATCTTTACCCCGTGTGCTGGTTTCTTTACTTTTCTGTTTCATTTATGACTTAGGAAAGGGACTTTAGAATCATTGTCAATTCATCCCTGGGAGATTTTTGCTGGCATTTGTTGGCTGTTTTGTTTACAGTTGAATATCATCTGTGTCGGGAGGACCCTTATGCTCTGCTTAGATCTGCGTGATTTACTATATAATATGATGCAGCCACTGGAAGAAAGTACCGCTGAGAGTTCTGGCTTTCTCTCATCAGGAAGCAGTTTCAAAAGATGGAAAAATAAAACTATTAGTGATATGAAACAATTTTATATGAGTTTGGACTGAAAAATTTATCTTTTGTCAGTAAGGAAGAAAATTAGGAAAGGATAGAATCTGAGGCCAGTTTAGCATGATGTCATGGGTAGGGTAGGTGTGCTCCTGTTCACCAAAATAGCATCCAAAACTAGGAGGTACCTTTTCAGCCCATTTTGTTACATTATCCTTATGTTTGTGAAAAGTCAATTTAAAGTTCTTTTGAACCCACTTAAACTCCTAAGCTATTTTATGAGTGTAATATTAATCTTCAGTCATTTCTGCAGTGTCAACCTTGAGATAGATTGAACCACTGGATTTTTCTGAGTGGTCATCTGTCAGAGTGTAGCTTAAACAACAACAAATACCATTTCTCAAGAAAAGTCACACAATATCATATACCCTTAGATAATATCTCTCAAATCCTATCAAATCTCAAAAGTTTATATGTAATAAGAACATGATGTAACCCATTCAGCCATTGGTCTTGTCTGTAATGTGAAGGTTGTTGAAGGTGGTTCTTTTGTCTTTACTTCATAAATTGTGTTAATTCTTGACACTCTAGGGTGAATTTGCCAAATGAACTTTTATCTGTTCTTTTCCCAACAGGGTAAATCATCTCATTTTAGTGGAGCCTTGGGGTTTCCCTGAGCGACCGGACCTTGCTGATCAAGACAGACCAATTCCAGTCTGGATCAGAGCCCTGGGAGCAGTATTGACTCCCTTTAACCCTTTAGCTGGCCTCAGGATTGCAGGACCCTTTGGTGAGTGCTTAGATCTGTACCCTAGGAAAGCAGAATGTTTATAGATGAGCAGTAAAGAAGTATTTATTGATTACCATTGTTAGTCAACATCTTAAAAACAAAGAGAAAAACTGAACCTTTTTCTCCTCTAAAAAGTATCAGTCCATGCATAAAGATGAATGAAACCAGATTCTTCTCCTCAATGAGGAGTCTTTATAGGTCAGCGCTATAGGTAATTAGCAAAGCCAAGAACGTGGAAAATGCTGAGGGTGAGGTCAGTAAGCCCAGGGACTGGGGGTGGAGGGGAAGTGCTATGTGGATCTGTTGGTGGGCGTTAGATTAAAGAGCACTTGTCAGGCTGATGATATCCAGCTGCAGAGAAGATACCCAGCTGCAGAGATCATATCCAGCTGCAGAGACCATGTCCAGCTGCAGAGAAGATAACCAGCTACATAGATCATGTCCAGCTGCAGAGATCATTTCCAGCTGCAGAGATCATATCCAGTTACAGAGATCATGTCCAGCTGCAGAGACCATGTCCAGCTGCGGAGACCATGTCCAGCTGCAGAGAAGTTATCCAGTCGTAGAAACCATGTCCAGCTGCAGAGAAGTTATCCAGTCGTAGAGACCATGTCCAGCTGCAGAGAAGATATCCAGCTGTAGAGACCATGTCCAGCTGCAGAGAAGATATCCAGCTGCAGAAATCATGTCCAGCTGCAGAGATCATGTCTAGCTGCAGAGATCATGTCTAGCTGCAGAGATCATGTCTAGCTGCAGAGACCATGTCTAGCTGCGGAGATTATGTCTAGCTGCAGAGATCATGTCCAGCTGCAGAGATCATGTCCAGTTGTAGAGATCATGTCCAGCTGCAGAGATCATGTCCAGTTGTAGAGATCATGTCCAGCTGCAGAGAAGATAACCAGCTACAGAGATCATGTCGAAGCCTGACGTGATCTACCATGGAGATGACTTACAGATTCTTTTCTCGTCTGGTAATGTCAGAGGGTTAAAATAAAGAAGTTCTTTTCTGCAAAGATTTTGGGAACTCTTGTGTTTCCAGTCATATTTTGAGGTACCAGTGCTTAGTCTTTGATTTAAATTCATTTGACTCTCAGCTCCTCTGTTTTAGTCTCAAAGCCAAGGGAGTTTCCTTCCTTTTTGTCACAGATGGTGATGGTCTGGACCTCCTCTGAACTACCTAAGAGTCTGTGTAGTAAATGGTTTTGACTTGATCAGAGTCACACAAGTAGCAGTTATGGGAAAAATAAAGTATGAAAAGAAATTAGGAGACAACGGTGGAGGATGGATGCCTCCTATTTATGCTTGCACGTGAAGGTGGTGGTGATGATGGAGAGTAATGTAGACTATTAACTATACCATACACATTCTTGATGGAGCTGCATAGTTCCTTCAGAAATAGGAAGGAATGTCACTAAAGAACTAAGACCTTGTTAGAATAATAGGCAGTGATAGCAGAAAGGGAAACTGGTTAGTCCCTGGGGCCCAGAAATATGATGGCTCCTGCTCTTTATCTTCTTTCCTTTGGGGGCCTTGTCCCTGCTCTCCCCTCAGGGCCATAGAACCACTGTGGATGCCTTAGCAGGGAGTATTGCTAGTGTCCCAAGCAGAAACCCTGAATTTATTTTTTCACAGAAATATATATATCTTGGAAAAATATAAATAAATTAATTTTATGTATGAGTTGCTCTATTCATCTGCCATGTTTAATAGAATTCATTTTCCTACAAAAACAAGTATTAGAAAATGATCATATGTTTTTGAAAAACATCTGTAAGTCACTATGGGACACTTTAATTCTTACTTTAAGCTCTCCTTAGGGAATTTGAGGAAAGCAGCTTCTAGGATATGTGTTTCTTTCCACTTAAAATATACATTTGAATACATATGTTGTAAGCATATAAGCAAACACTGAAACTTTCTGTATTAATCTATAAGTCAATTATAATTTAAAACACTGATAATTTAAAACATTCATTTTCTGTTAAATAGGTTTAAGTCTAGTACAGCGTTTAAGGCCTGATTTTAAACGGAAGTACTCTTCAATGTTTGAAGATGAGACTGTGACAGAATACATCTACCACTGTAATGTCCAGACTCCAAGGTAAGGCTTATCATTCTAAATATACTGTGTTCATAGTTTAGACTTTTCTCTTTTGAAAATATGTGAATAGTCTAGGACCATGGTCGGCAAACCGTGGCTCGCGAGCCACACACGGCTCTTTGGCCCCCTGAGTGTGGCTCTTCCACAAAATACCACGTGCGGGCACGCACGTACAGTGCGATTGAAACTTCGAGGCCCATGCGCAGAAGTCAGTATTTTGTGGAAGAGCCAGTATTTTGTGGAAGAGCCACACTCGAGGGGCCAAAGAGCCACATGTGGCTCGCGAGCCGCGGTTTGCCAAGCCGCAGTTTGCTGACCACTGGTCTAGGAGATGTTATCAGTAGTTAAATGACTAATCCTTAAATTACTCATCTATTCTTGGAGCACTTTTTGTGTATTGGATTCTGATAGGAATCTAAAAAGCAAGACCTATTTTCTTCCCCTAAAATGCTTATGGATCACTTGAGGAAGTCTTAGTCTCAGGTATCTTTAAGAGATCATCAGAGTTGAGAGATAAGAAGACTTCATATAAAACAGCATTCCCATACTGAATAGGAATGTTCTCCCAAAAAAAGGAGTGCTGGATTAAACAAACCTAAATGGTTTTCTCTATCATGGATCTTCTTAGGACCTTTTACTCTGCTAAGAGTAATAAATCTCCCAAGTGCAGGGGAGATGCTCTGCAGCATTTTTCAAGTTCATTTGATGATTGCACCTCTCGTTACTAAGCAGCTCTTAATGTTTGCAGTGGGCATGGAGTAAGTAAAGGGTGGGGGTAGGAGAAGAGAGATCCTGCATGTATTTTGATAGTAATTACAAGGAGGGGGGCGGGGGGGGGGGGGGGAGAGAGAATGAGAATGAGAATAAGATAGTATCCAGAGGGAGCAAGAAGGCCAAACACGGGTTTCTTATTTAAAAAAAAAAAAGACTTAAAAAAATATGGATAGTGTGTGCAAGGAACCAGTGGAGAAAACACCGCTCGAAGATGGTGGGGAGCTAGGAGGAGCCCAAAAGACAAGACCCTAGAGTTGGTAGGTTGAGGATCAAGAAGGGAGTAGGAAGGTGAGTGCTCCGGTTCTCATGCTTCTGTGTGTACCAGAATTATTGGAGCTTGTCAAAATGTGATTCCCAGAGTCAGGCTTAGCAGTTCTGGGCTGCATCTTTAACAGATGCTTCTAATGCAGTTAGGCCGTGGCCCACACTTTAAAACGTAGAAGTGGTACCTCATCTTATCTAAGATGGAGACTTGAGTGAAAGGCTGAGAGGCTAGATGCAGAGACAGTCTCCCTCACTTTTCTCCTCCCTAACTTTTGACAGCGAATATGTATACCTACTTCATTAAAGATTGAGGCCATGGAAGCTATTGAGGTGTGGCTGTGGCCTCCGTCTTTAACAAAGTAGGTTAGAAGGAGGCTGCAGAGGTTTGGGGTCCTCAAGAGATTGTTTTGTGACTCAGGCAATCAGATCTGGTGGATTAGGTCTCCACACTTTATTGACTTGGTCCTACAGTTTTGAGTGGTCTATCCCAGATACATCATGTGTTTTCCTACACGGTCTTAGTGTTTTATTCTTCACTTACATTTCATGATTACTTGTGCCTGTGTAGCCTTTCTTACGGTGGAACTTAAAGTCTTCATAAAAGGCAATTCAGAATTATGCCCAGTACTGTAAGGGAAGCAAAAATGACAGCAAAACGGGTCTATCCTGGGAGTTCACAAAGTGTTGTATTGGTCACTCAGATAGCCATGGCTACAAGAGAAGAAGCAGGAAAGACTCAAGAGAACAGTTCATTATATTCACAGGTCCCAAGGGATCACAGAAAGGCCAGGTTTTGGACAGGAGACAGAAGACAGGAGCAAAGGGAAAGTCTAGGTCAGAGCCTCTATGGGGTCTTCTGGAAAGGCACACAGCAGGCAGGTTAGCATTTGGGACTGGCCCGTGGAGTAATTTCGGTAGGCTCGAAGAATGGGGATAGTCTCTGGTTGCCCGGCACCTGGTCCTGAGATGAGTAAGGCAGAGACACATTGCCTCCTAGAATGTCAACAGAAGAGGCAGGATTCTGCAGTAGTTCATTTGCATATCAAAGGCATGTTCCCTGTGGAGTCCTTTGTCACCTCTAAGAAATGGCTAGTTCCTGGAGTCACATTCTCTCAGCCAAAAAGGTTTTAAGATGTCACATGTCATAATATGCAGAAAGTTAAAAATATAAACAATACACAGAAAATGCTTAATTTTAATTTCTTCTTATCTTGGTATAGGCTTTGCCATTGCCTGTGAAAAGCTAGTGCTATGAACCTGTGGAAAAGCTGTCTTCTACATTTGAAATAAGTTAGAGTGAAAAAATACATTTTAACTATCCCCATAGGAAATGTAATCATTTAATGACATGGAGTTAGGGCTGCAAGTTTTGATTTGGCTTTATTTAATTAACTAGAGTTTGGACATCCATGTTTATCTAACAAAGCACGTATCTTCTGCAGGGTGTGTACAGAGGTGTAGATCTTCTGTGGGGTTGTTCCTTACAGTTTCTACTAAATTGATTTCTGTTTAAGCTGAGGTTTTTCTTAAGTGGGAAGAAGCTTAATGTGAGTCTGTTTTGATACATGCTCCTCCTCAGAAGTCATCCATGCGATTTTCTTCTTTTTCTTAAAGTGGTGAGACAGCATTCAGAAATATGACTATTCCTTATGGATGGGCAAAAAGGCCAATGCTCCAGCGAATCGGCAAAATGGACCCTGACATTCCAGTCTCGGTGATCTACGGTGCGCGGTCCTGCATAGACGGCAATTCTGGCACCAGCATCCAGTCCTTACGACCACATTCATACGTGAAGACAATAGTAAGTGGGTTGGTTTTTGGGGTTTTTGGTCGTAGGTGAGATCTGTCCTAGTCTTTGCCTTCAGTGAGATTTCAGGCCACCTGAGCTGTGCACTGCAGCCTTGGTCTGAGATCTGGGATCACTTGTGATGGGGGTAGGATTGGACCCACACTAGTCTTCATGTCTAGGCCGTGATTTGCCTTTCTTAAGGGCCTTGCCGTCGTAGAGCCGCAGTGTTTTTGAGGTGGGAGAGACTGGAAGCGGGGTAGGTCAGTAGCACCTTGGCCAATTCCCACCTCACAAAGCAGCACATTCTCACTTTGTTCAGTTTATCTGCTGGCCCTGCCTTAGTGGTCAATTTGGAATGGTTTGTTTATTTTTTTGCATGTTAAAATTTTAATGAAGCTCAATAGATTTTTTTCTCTTTATTCTATCAGATTCTTTATTTGATAGAAATATCCACAGTGAGGCAAAAGTAGGTTTACAGTTGTGAGTACATGAAACAGAGTTGATTCTTGTATTGTTATTTACTATTAATTGTATTCTTTTCCATATGAATAACTAACTGTAAACCTACTTTTTCCCCATCCTATATAGTAGCTAGTTGCCACAGAACAGTGTTGTCTATTTTTCTTTTTCATAAAAAGCAAGTTGTTCACTTTATTACAGTTTAGTGCTTTCATAAAATAAATATAGACTATCAAACAGACAGTGAGGGACAACATGCTGTGCAAAGCGTGTACCAGAGTTCATGGGGCCTCCCACTGCACTCGGGTGGAGCCGCCAGGTGGCTGCGCACACACACACGATGCGACCAGCAGTCCCTGGGAGTTGGGGAGACCAGGGCAGGGCGGGGGGGAGGACGGGACAGGGGGTCCCTACATCCCTTCAGGGTTTGTACCATTTCCCCTACCCCCTCTCCACCTACAACTATGGGACAGTCACACTCATCTGACGTCATTATGTGATGTGAAGAGAAACCAGAGTATTACTCTTTTTTTTTTAATTGATTTCACAGAGGGAGAGGGAGAGAGAGATAGAAACATCAATGATGAGAGAGAATCATTGATCAGCTGCCTCCTGCACGCCCCACACGGGGGATCAAGCCCTATGTCTTATTTACATATAGCTGTTCTCACTTTCATTAATAAGTGTCTTTGCTTATGTCATTGCTTTAGTAAATCCGTTTCCTCACTGACCACCTGCTTTTCCTTTCCCAGGCCATCCTTGGGGCAGGGCATTATGTGTATGCAGATCAACCTGACGATTTCAACCACAAGGTGAAGGAGATCTGTGACACTGTGGACTGAGCACCTGGGTGGTGGGGGAAGCCTGCTGACTGATACAGCTCCTCAGCCACAGTCAGTCCACGGTGAAGAGTAAGGAACACAACAGAACTAGGCAGTCTTCTTGACTGCACTTTGCACCTGTTTTCTCTGTGAAGCTGCTTGCACACTTAAACCAGTTAGTGCCTTCTAGAAGAATGCCTTTCTTTCTCCCTCACAAAGCCAAAATATACAAGAGCCTCCGAATCTAATAACTTTAATAAAAGGTTGGTTGTCACTCTGCTGTACTGAGAAATGGTAATTTTTTCAACTGAAATTTTTTTCATTTCTGTCTAACTTTGCTATGTCAGGCACTTTTTATATTTCAATCTACATTGCCTATTTTAAAAAGTGATTTCTGTATCTATGTTTTATATACTGTAAAGGTGCACTTTATTTTCTTTGCTTGTATTTGCCATGTCTAATAACTGATATATAATGCATCAAAATTCAATATGTTTTTATGTAAAAATGCGTCACCTTCTTAAAATACTTCACTTTTGAAATGGAGTGATGAGATAGCATTTTGGGTAAAAAGATAGGAATTGATCACTAGCATTAATTTTTCTGATTTTCCTCTGTACTCTAAGGCTGCAAAGCCATGGTCAGCATTTTAAATGTGATCCATCCTGACATAACTACAACAGTGTAACTCCTGGGGATCTCCTATGTGTGATGCAATTCTCCACTTCCAGCAAAACTCAACAGTAATACTTAGGTGATCCAAGTACTGAAAAGCCTTAACAAAGTCTATCCTTCTTCCTCACATTAATATTGGTCTTTTCTGTGAGCCAGGATGCAGCAAAGGAAACAGATTTCCTCACTGAGGGATAGTAGGACTGTTACCTTCCAGTAAGCCAAATCGTATATTTTCATTAACATCTAATCTTGTAGATTGGTGCTAAAACTGGATTATATTTTTACCACTAAATATAAAAATAGATAGTGCTGTTACATCTCATGGCACCAGAGATAAGCTAGCACTTGGGTTTGTTTGGTGTGTGTTTTGTGTTTTTTTAAAAGTTTTGTGTTAATTTACATGCTTGAATTTATACTAAAATTCTGTAAGGTTGATTGAACTATTTAACAACTGCCATCGAATGTAGTACTTTTTTGCTGTTTTAAAATGAGGAGAACCTCTGAGACTGTGAAAAAGCTCCATGTGGTAACTGGCTGCTGAGAAGACCCTTTGAAGAAGAAAACAGCAGGATTGGCACGGACACGGCGTTTCTGACTCAGGTTTTGCTAATGTTCTTGTCTAGCAGAAAGGTGGTTATGGAAATAAAAACAGTAACCTAGAGCAAATGATGGTTTCATGTTTTTGACTGTTGCATTTTTTAAATGGTTAATGAGGAAATTTCTGGTTGGAGAAGTAAGATTGTATCACTTGTTGATTAACTGCCAAAAAGACTGAATGTTCTGTTTTCAACATTATTTTCCTTATAAAAGAATAGGCAACATACAGATTACACTGAAGCAAAACAGATAGGTTCCCAATGAATTTGTCTCATTTGTCAGATTAAGTAGGTTAGTGCCAAAGGTAAGAGCCAAGACATGTCCGATTTCTCTACCATTAGAACCAACATAGCCTTTACTTTTTCGTTAGTAGTTTAGATGGCCAGATTCAAGCATATGTGGTACAAATAATTTGAGTGAGATTTTTGTATTTTTGTTTGACAGACTCTCCATCTCCCTTATTCATTCTTTGCTGGACAGATGACAGGTTTCTGTGCAGGAAGTCTGGTCGCAGCCCTCCGGGGCCGGGGAGGGGGGGAGGTGAGAGGGGACAGTTTCTAGGTTCACTTAGTAAATGGGGTTTCAGCCACGAATGGGCCAAGTGGTTCAGGAAAAGATGTACCCAGTTGTCAAGTGGAAGTTATTTTCCTACTGACTGATTTTGCTTTATTTGAAAAATGTTGTCATAATTCTTATTAAAAGTTAAATTTTACCTTGGGCTATAGGATATGTAATTCTGTGAAGATTGAGCTAGCAGAGAACATCAACAGTCCTCAAATTTCTAAACATACAGTGATTGCTAAATGTTTTTTAAAATCAATCACGGGATGTGATCTTTGCTAATTTATGCATAATGTACTCCAATGTTATTTTACAGAATAAATTTTACTGTGATAGTCACAACAAGACAACTGCTGTACATGTTCTTGAGTTTTCAGTATGGCCTGGTGTATTTACCACCCATTACTATAGGACCTTGGATCCAGTGAGTGTTCAGAACGCTAGGCATTCTGAGGGAAGGCGCAGTGCTGTGCCCTCCACACGTGGCCCCCGTGTTCACACATCCCTTCGTATAATTTCTGTTTTCTTCTAAAACTAATTTTTAAAAAAAGTTTGTCTAGAATTGGTTTCAGAATATTACCTAGAAAACACTTTTGAAATGTCTTCACATATGTATTTTATATATTTATGTTTATATTTGAAGGGCACATTAGCTCCAATAAAACAAGAATTTTTCTCCCTGTATAAAGGTATTAGAAAAAACAAACAATTGCCAGGAGAGGCAATTGTTTTTAGCAATGATATTGGTGGTGTCATTTAAAACTGTGTTTATATATGATAAAGCAAATATTATGTCCATGGAATTCAGAGCCAAGATTTTTAGCACAAGAGAAAATACAACATTAAAGTTAAATAAAAATCCCATTGTCATATATTTCAATTGGAAATACCAGTAAAATACTGTGATCTATTTTTCTCTTTGTGAAAGACACATATGGCATAGCTTTGTCCATTGAAAAGGCCTAGAAGCAAGCACAACCCGGAAGTAAGGCCCCCCTAGCACCCAGCCTCTCCCACTAGACGGGGCAGGGAAATGACAACATGAGGCTGGACCATCTTGTGGCAGAAAGCAGGGAAGCAATCAGTAAGGTCATGTCAAGAGGACCCAGGAGCCAACTGGAAGGGACTCCTATCTACCGAAGATGGAATAGTTCGGACAAAAAGAACAGTGGGCTGAAGCATGAAATACATAACAATCTGAGGTCATAATGATAGTTGGAAAAAAAAAGTCACCTTTGGAGGTTACTAGGGCACCCACCAATCCATTATTTTGAAAAAATTCTAACTGGAAGATTGAGACATTTACTCTAACTTCTTTATGTGTCAGGTCAACCTGATTAGGGAAAGTTCTTCACTCGGAAATCAGCTAAGTTTCAGAAATGATAGGGTTAAGAAAACACCATTGTGTTACTTCTAGTGAAATAATGGATCTAGGCTGCTGAAGGTATTAGGTGGAAAGTTGATGGAAAATGTTTTATTGCATGGCTCAAGTTGACAACATCTGTGATCAATATCAGCATTACTGAAAAGGGAACAATCAGAATACCCAAGCCTACTGATCCCTTATTAAACATCGCATTCATTTTGACAGAGGGGTCCCTTGGCTGCCAGATGTGAAGGCTGAGACTTCTAATTCAGACTCGCCTCATTGTATGACTGCACATTAGCCGTGGAGACAGGTAAGAAAAGCTAAATGACGGGGCCCATTTCCTTCTTGCTAACAGTGGAGACTTAGTCACAATGACCTGGGTGGGGCAGGAGTGCATTACAAACACTACTGCTTTGTCCTGTTCTTTAAGAGCTGTTTCCTACTTCTTACCTATGAATGCTTTTATAATTGGAAGTGACAACAATAGTAACAATTCACTGTTGAGACCAAGATACCAGACTCACGTGACTGGTATTTCACCTTCCTGTGCCAACCAGCTTGCTATATGTCTGCTGATTCGTGAAACCCTAGCAGACCTTTTAACATCTACCTATTCAAGACTTGAAAATGCTGCTTTCCAAGGGATGGGTGGGGTACCATGGCCAGAGGAAAATGGCAGAGGGAGGCCTTGTGCCAACCTGCAGGAGATGGCTGTCTGGTCTCCCTACGGCCTCCTCCAGTAGCAGACAATTTTCAGTGATAATCTTGAGTGAATCTTCTCTGTGCCTCTGGATGACCTTGCAGCCTCACGTGGCCAGCACCACAGACGCAGGCAGCCAGACAGACGCTGTGCACTGAAGCGCAGCCTGTTTCAGCAAAATGGGAGCGTGAGATGGGGACTGTGCCAACTCTCAGAGCAGCAGGCCTCGGACCCTAGTTGCCTGAGTCATTGAGGCCGCCTGTCACAACCGCAGAGTCGAGGCACTCACCAATACATCTGATGCTGCCCATCTGTGGGCCGGCAGGGCCTAGGACTCTACATTCCCTGCCCAATGTGTCTGACATAGGACATCAATTATTTGCTTGGTTTATCAGACATTTACTTTGGTTGGACTCAAGCTGTTTCTTGGTGGCAGCAGAAATCTCGTTTTGGTTATTTAATCCTCAGTTAGCGTCTGCCCCATACGGACAGTCAGAAATGTGGGCAGAAATTCTATCCAGACTTGGAGGCTCCCCTCCCTGGCTCTCTCCTTTCCAGACTCCCTCTCATTTTTGCAATAGCTGTGCTTGCCCAGAAAGACTGCTGGTCTTCCCCTTCCTACCTGGTGGCCTTCTCTCAAGCTAAGAGCTCTGAAGATGCTGTTCTGTCCCGTGTCAAGTGCCTTCCTGAGTCAGCTGCTTTTGTTCGTTCTCTAGCGCGCTTTCAGGTTGTTGTTTCTTGATAGTGTCCCTTTTATGATTGTTACCAGTGGGTGGGTTGGCCCTCAGCTTTTCTGGAAATGGAACCCCTGGGCCAGACTTCAAGATCAGTGTTTCCCAGTGTTCCTTGTGTACAAACTTGAGACTTGGCTAGGTAGAGGCTTGTCTTGCTCAAAGACATGCTTGCGTCTTATTTCTGTACTTTCACTTGACTTACCACCAGCCAGCTGTGGCCACATGTAGCAATCTCTGGATATTTCACCCCTGCAGAAATTTAGACGGGAATTAGCCAATGCAGGACATGCGGTGTGGTATTTGCATTGCTTTTAGAGAATGCGGCCCCCAACGTAGCTGAGATGAAAACCATACATAGTATGTAGTCAATACCGTATTTGGAAAGCCTTTCTGTTTGTCTGCAAAGCTGGTTCTCTTTAAGCCCTCCTATCTTTAGCTTTTGCTGGCCTCACAGGCCTTTGCCCTGCCCACCAGTGGCCCCAGAAGCTTGCAACATTCATTTTGTTGGTCCCTGATTCCTGAGGCCTCTGCCCTCCCTGGAATTGTATTTCTCATACAATTGGAGCCATGCTGGTTCATTGTAATCTAATAGCCCTCTTGCTGTCAATTTTGACTAAGCTGAATGCTTAAATTCTTGAGAA